TTAATGAATCAAACTGCGATAGTTTCAGCCATTAGGCGTTGAGATTAATGAATCAAACCGCGATAGTTTCAGCCATTAGTCGTTGAGATTAATGAATCAAACTGCGATAGTTTCAGATTCTAGTAATACTCCCAAACTTCATCTTCCCTCTGAGAAATTACTGAAAAAAGCAAAGATTGTAGAAAGAAGTTGCTGAGATGAAGAAAACTCACTTGCTTCCAACTCATCACAATCCTTCTTGACAACAGCAACATATTTATTGACTCATGCCATGCAAGGTTTGTCTTGGAAGTGACAAAGTTTTGGATAACAGAACCAGTAAACTTGAACTGTGTTGGTGTCATGGAACCTGCTTGCTACAGACTTAGTACCATGTTCAATTCACTGATGGAGAATTTCTGTATTGAATAATGTTTTTCAGTACTAACGAGAATGCTAACCAGTCATTGTCTTATCTCTGTAGCTGGAGCCTCATGTCAATGGCCCATTCACACCAGATCTGGCTCATCCAATCTCATGCCTAGGAAAGAATGCTGCCGAGAAGGACTGGCCAATGGAGGTCAAAGTTGGTGAGTGATCCAGAATTCAAGCAGGTCACAGCATTTGTATAGTTTGCAGTTGTATGGGTTGAGCTCTGTCACTCAAGAAAAATATCCCTTCTGTAGAATGAATAACCTCATAAAACTCTTTATAAATGATGTCCTTCGTCCGTCCTGCGGTGTAGAGGGAGTTTGTTTGCGTGTAGCAATGTGGATTATAATGATACTTATGGCCAGTGTAATATGGTCTAATGTGCGAATGTCCATGGTTAAAGAGCACCTCTAAGGAAAACATGTTTTCTCTGATTTTATCTGTTCACATAAATATGGCAGCATCCAGATCGAATGCAGTGTCATTTGTCTTCAGAACTCAACTATAACAAGCTAAAAAGTTTATTTTCTGTTCATGCCGAGATGCGAATTCTGAATATGGATTGCATCATTCTGGGAAAACAGAGAAAATGAGGGGAACCCTTGCCCTGTGTTTGTAGTGGCTAAACCCTTGTGCGTGCCAATTAATGGCTACATGCACAGGACGAGGGTTCCCCTCATTTTCTCTGTTTTCTCAGCATGACGCAGTCCACATTCAGAATACGCATCTTGGCATGAACAGAAAAAACCTTTTTAACTTGTTACAGTTGAGCTCTGAAGACAAATGACGCTGCATTCGATTTGGATACTTCTGTATTTAATTAAACTGATAAAATCAGAGAAAACGTGTTTTCCTTGGAGGTGTTCTTTAAACTACCTGCAGAAAATCAATCAGGGTCTTCCAGAAGCTTCAAAAAATTTGCAGACAGCAGGAGGTCGTTGATTAAAGGCATTTGTACCTGTTTGTGTGCCTGGGGTGTATGTCTTGTAACATTGCAACTGTTCTCAGTAAACTCGCCATAATCAGGACGTCTCAACTGTCTGTTTGACTGCATGGAATAAATCAATTGTTGACTGCAGTGGTCAGAGGTTTCTGAAAACAAAATCCTCTCATTTCTATGAAAAATATTGAAAGGTAAAGAAAACGATGTCACGAAAAGTAGTGTTTTGAAGATGTTCGGAGCACGAAACTGTTTTTGTTGTTTTTTATCTGTGTGAGTTTTGTCGCTTACTTTGATTTCTCTGTAGGTCTGATTGGGAGCTGCACAAACAGCAGTTATGAGGATATGAGTCGGTCGGCTAGCATTGCCAAGCAAGCGTTAAGCAAAGGCCTGAAATTTCAGTGAGTCTCTCTGAACTTGCCTTCTTAAATTAAGCAGCCTCTGAACAACATTGAGAAACCTTGTGCTGCCAAAAACCACTTGCGAAACACTCAAAAAGAGAGTCTTGTTTGGACTGAGTTTTTTTGCAATTCAAATTGATGTAATGAGATACAAATCAAAGATTTGTGCTTTATGGTCGAGTTCGGGTGGCCTGTTTTCGGGTTTCTTGTTTTGTGTTCGAGCAATGGAAACACGACCCAAGAACACTGTTCTCGGAACGTGGTAACACACCACCTCCTTGTCAGGGTTGTACAGGAACACACAGAAAAACTCGTGAGATTTTGATTTTCGAAGAGCTGCAAAAAGTAGAGAGATGGCGTACAAAGCCAGAGACAATGGGATGTTTGGCAAAATTAACATAAATAATAAACAGTCTAGACTTTAGCATGTGTTTCTTATCTGCCTTGGGCAGAAGCACCCCCTCGTTGGTTGAAAAGAGCCATGTTGGTAGGGAGTGTTCAGTTTATTTATACAGTAGCGATGTGACTGCAGCACTTGTATTTCGTACTCGTTCGTGAAGCAGCAAAGTGCAGTTCCCACCAAAGGGGCATCCGTTGCTAGGAAAATTGCGCCCTCTCTTAGCCCCGCTCGGGGCTCATATGGAACACAATTCTGCCCAGCCTTAGTGTACAAACAGTGGCTTGCCAGTACAAAATGACACAGGCTCATTCGTGCTGTCCTTATCACTGCATTGCGTTTAGTGCTCAATCATTCCCAAAGCACAGCTGTTGGGCAGGGCAAACAATAACCCGATATCCCTGTGAGCTTTTGTTCATTGCAGTATGAATCTTTTTGCTGCCGACCAACTGGCCCAAAGCGTGACCCCCGCGTAGGACTCTAACCTTGACGCTTTGACTGATTGCTGTTTTAGGTCCAAGTTTACGGTGACTCCTGGCTCGGAGCAGATCCGTGCCACCATAGAGAGAGACGGCCAGGCTGCCGTGTTCAGAGACAGTGGCGCATTGGTGCTGGCAAATGCATGTGGTCCTTGCATTGGTCAGTGGGACAGGTTAGTGTGTTCAACTGTCACAATAAGCCATTAGCGAGTTAAATTTGAGTAAAATCTGGTACACTGAGTTATTTGATTGCACACAAACGTAACAATTTTAATTCCCCAGACTAAAGACGCTGTTGCTATATACCTCGTGATTCAGGGCAAGCTTTTGCATAGCGACCACCATCTCTGGAATGGACTGGTTCCTTTGTACCCTTCTTATCCATTGAGAACAGTGTATTGAGGCAAGGTGTCTCTTGTGTAACTAAGCAAAAGCTGGCCCAGAATCACGAGGTATAGCAACAGTAGTTTTGGTATGGAGAATTGAAATTGTTATGTTCACTTGAATTTATTAAAGAACTCATAGTATCAGATTTTATTCGAAGATCAGTCGCAAAAGGCTCATTAACTTGGTTTGTATATCTTTTAACCAGTAAAATGAAGGTTTATGTCAGAAAACAATGTTGAAAAGAATGAATTTGAAGTTGATGTTGTCAATGTACGGCACCTTCTCACTCGTTTGGATATCTGTTCAAACAGTCAATCATTTCTCTTTTTCAGGCAAGATGTGAAAAAAGGCGAGAAGAATACCATTGTCAGTTCCTACAACAGAAATTTCACCGGTCGTAACGATGCCAACCCAGCTACCCATGCATTTGTAGCTTCACCAGAGGTAGGTTTTAGATGTGGTTAAAGTGCCCATCCACGTGACTCGCACAAGTCAGGATCCCTGTAGCCATGGAAGAGCCTTGAAAGAAAGTCGTTCAGGAAAGTCATGGAAAAGTCCAGGAAAACTGTCACAACAGGATGCCCTGGAATCTAGCTGTCGGGAAAAAAAGTCATGGAAAAGTTACGGAAATCAAGATCATGCAAGGGTTATGTTGATGGGCCACTCTTGGTGTGATAATGGAGCCATGATAAGTTACAAGCTATCCCTGTCAGTCTGTCATTGTTTTTATGGCAGTCTTCCAGTTCATAATTTCACACAATTTTCCCCTGCAAAATGGCGTTAAATGCTATCAAAATGGTCATAGTGTAGTCCTGAAATTCGGTTTACAGATGTTTTCAGTAAATTCCTGACAAGTCCATGTCTTCCACTGAGGTATACCATTTTGCCAAATGGATCCATCTAATTTTTTTTATGAAATAGCGGTAACCGTTGCGAATTTGTTCATCCTTTGTAGATTACGACAGCCATCGCCCTCGCAGGGCGTCTTGACTTCAATCCCATGACTGATGACTTGGTCGGAACCAATGGTGAGAAGTTTAAGCTGAACAGTCCGTATGGAGATGAACTGCCTGGCAAGGTAGAGTATATCCAATGGCTCCATTCAGTCAGTCGATGTCATGCTCATATGTACCTGAGACAGTTTGCCCATTCATATAGACATACAACATAATGGCAGTGCGATGGGACAAGATCCGTCAAGCCCCCATGGGGAAGTGCACATTTGAACAAAGAGCGATGTCATGTTTTAAGTCTGTTGAAGTCAGATGCAAAACTGTGGTCCAGTCTGTTATCATTGGCAGACTCCAGTCTGGTTTGAATCCTTCTGGTGGTGTCCATTTATGTGTAGCACATTTCTCTACCGAAGGACTCTCAATTGACTGTATTACCCCAGCCCACCAGGCTCAAGGACATTTCTCAAGCTATCTCAGCTCCCTGGGGAGTACTCAGTTTGACTAGAGCCCTTTCAGGCATAAACAGCCAAACCCACAAGAACCATCACTATTTTTATTCCTGGGTGGAGAGAGGCAAACATGGGCTAAGTGACTTGCCCAAGGTTGCAGCATGTAACTAGTTGCTGGATTCGAACCCCTGACCCTGTGACAAGGAGCTCCAAACCCAGATTGAAGCATCAATAAACAGTCATGAATTACCCTGCTTTTCATGTGTGTTCTTGAAGGGATTTGACGCAGGGGAGGAAACCTATCAAGCACCTGCCGACAGCAAGGTGGACGTCGACGTTGACCCCAGCAGCAAGCGCCTGCAACTCCTCAGTCCGTTTGAGAAGTGGAACGGCAAAGACTTGGAAGGCATGGCAGTACTCATCAAGGTGAGAATCAAAGACCAACACTAATCTCTACTTTCCTTGCTATAAATGGACTGAGAATATTTCTATTCGCCCCCTGGATTGGTTGCCAGTCTGTCACATGTTGCTCCCCAGCCAATGACGGTACTGCTCCTGAGCAGAGAGAGGCAGCTAGGGGTTAAGGGCCTTGCCCAAGGACACAACCTGTCACGTGCAGTTGGATTCAAAGCCTTGACCCTCGGGCCATGAGTTCCAAACTTTAACCACGACACCAAACTCATCTCTTTGATCGATCGTCTCCACAGTCATGCTTGTCCATAAGTTTGATATTCTTATTGCAGATAATGATATTCATAAGTTCTTGTTTTTGACCAACAGGTAAAAGGCAAGTGCACAACTGACCACATCAGTGCGGCTGGACCTTGGCTCAAGTACCGAGGTCATCTAGACAACATCTCCAACAATCTCCTCATTGGGTAAGTCTTGAGGAAAACTGCAATTTTCTGAGTTTGCAAACCACCAAAATGAGTGATCTTGAGGTCTTTAAACCAGAAATCAATCTTTTGGATTACCTGATTTTTAATCTGAAAAGTGGCAATTGCGACTAGTTTTGTTGACAAAAATTTTCCTTCAATTCTAAGTGAAACCAAAGAACACCAAGATAGGAATTGATGCACCATATTTATTTTTGTTGGAACACGAATGTTCTTATTTTGTTTTTCACATAAGATTGGATTCTAAATTAGTATTATTGATTGTGTTGAGCGTAGTGCTACCAACATTGAGAACAATGAACTGAACAAAGTCAAGAACAAGTTGAGTGGAGAATATGGGCCGGTCCCTGACACAGCGAGACATTACAAGGTAAGCATTCATGCTAAGTAAGATGCTAGTACTCTGCAAGAAGTCTGTGATTTGCTGAATTGTGTCTAGTTTTGGCAATAAACAAGAGCATGAAGTATTTATTACTTGTTTGTGTAGTTTTTATAATGAAAATTCCTACTGTTTTCCAAATCAGACGTTAAGAATTGGAAAATCCTTATTGTGGTATTTATTTTAGTATTTTGGAACTTAAAACTCAAGCTAGCCAGTTTGATAAGCTCTTACGTTATGATCACTTCGATACATTTGAGAAATGGTTGATAGTAGTTGTTTGCTGTTGAATTAAAAACTCATTTCTCATCCCCATTAATGAAAGAACGGAATACTTGCAACTATTGTCAATCATAGTTTTCGGACTCTTGTTCAAAATAAATTATTGGGAATTTTTCTGCTGTTACGAAGGAGAGATAGTTTTGTGACCTATTACAATAAATTCCTTGTCTAGCTCGTTACTTTGGTAGCATTCTGCTTTGATGGCTTACATCCCTTAGTAATGGTAGAAAGCGTTAACGTATTGTCATTGGATAGAAAAGTTTCATTCCCACCATTTGTAGTTCCTTCATGCTGCCTGACAGAAAGGATTATGATGTTTGCTTTGTGCATCTTCTTGGTCTTCACTCAAATTTATTGAAATATTTTTTTACGCTTGGAAGAACGATCTTTGCAAATCGTTTATCTCTTGTTGGTTTTGTAAGTATTTGTCACTTGATCCGTGTATCAGCTACAGCATATGATCAAAGATTCATATAGATGTGCTCAGATGCCAAAGAGTTTGTCTCAATACACAGAAAACTTGTAAGGGTCAGGGAAGGTTGCAAAACCGTGCTAAGCTGACTAACGCTTGTTTGTTGCAGGAAAAGAGGCTGAGCTGGGTGGTGGTTGGAGATGACAACTATGGTGAAGGTAGCAGTCGGGAACACGCTGCCTTGGAGCCTAGACATCTGGGTGGCAGAGCCATCATTGTCAAGAGCTTTGCAAGGATCCATGGTATGTATCTAATAGCTACTCCTGGACTGAGATATAAAAGAAAGAAAAATTCATCTAGCAGAGGGAGAAATTTCCAAGTCACTGAACCTGTCATTGGTATACTGTCAAATTACTTTCTTGTAATCGACCACTAACACATGTGATGTAATATGCTGTTGGTCCTGCATTACTGTTTGGAAAGTAAAAAAAGTTACAGAGTTAAAGGCTATTGGTAGGAATCACATTCCAGATGGTATCTGGCTGTGTTGGATGTTAGTATTGCTGAACGCTATTGGTAGGAATCACGTTGCCGATGGTAACTGGCTGTGTTGGATGTTAGTATTGGTCATGGTGGGAGTGTCTATTATGCCATCTTGGAAATATCCGTTCTGCTTTGCAAGTTTGATATTCTGACAGTGCAGAGCTGATACGCACCTCATTCATGATTTGTCAAACAACCAAAAATGTGTTGAGTCTGATGTGTTTGGGGACTTACCATAAAGTCCATGTGATCTTCCTATATAATAACATGCTGGTCTCATGCAAGTAATGTGTTCTTTGATGACTACTGTATTTTTATACAAAACTTCACATGCTTCAACAATTGGTACCTTCTTTTAACTTCTCTGAGAAGTTGTCTGGTTTCCTGACTCTTTTTATTTGTGCAGAAACCAATCTGAAAAAGCAGGGCTTGCTGCCGCTGACCTTTGCCAACCCTGCTGATTATGACAAGGTCCAGCCAGACGATGAAGTGAGCCTCCTGGGAGTAACCAGTCTAGCACCAGGATCGGTGAGTTT